TTCAATTGTTTTTGGTATGAATTCTACACGGAAATTTTAAAATATATATATATATATAATTGAATTCTTCAAATGTGGCGGACATATTGGTGTCTGCATAATAGACATCTGGCCTACGTAATTGTGATTAAAGGACGTCATAGAAAAGCCTCTTACGGATAAATACAAAGCTATTACGAATGACTGAAATTATGGCGCCAGCTGTACGGTTACGTCATTACCGGTTCGGGAGTTTGGAAAATTTTAAGCTTTGTTTTTTTGTTGTACAAGGCAATCCGGAATAATCACACCCCGTATCAGATGCAGGAATCTTAAAAAGGTCACGCGCAAAACCGAACGCGGCTTAAAAATCGCTTAAAAGTGTAACGCAAGAATTTAAAATGTCTTATTGGCTATTGGGCAATGTTATGAAAATCTGTACCGTGATTTATACACTGCACTAATATACAGAGCTAGACCAGCTCAGTAGCTAAAGCGACGTTCAGTTATTTTTACTATCAGGCCTGATGGAATAGATACATCAAAAGACAAAATAGTATTATTAAAATAATAAGTAATTCGGATATATTGTCCAAAATCCTTATTGGTGTATTCACGTATTAAACTTAGCCCATTCGAATTTCACATACCGAGTTGTAGTTACATTAAGTTACAGCAGAGAATAAGTCTACGTATTCTAAGATTACAAATATTTCATTTCCACAGACGTATTCATGAGAAAGTTATAATTAATAAAACTTAATATCTGTAATATGTCGTCGGAGACTAAAATTCTTTGCGTGCCACATGTGGGCCGACAATCGTAATCTATCAGCCAGGGACATACACAGTGGACCGGATTTATATTTTCACCAGAGACACGAATTATTCTCATCGCTGACTTGTCAATACCAACTCTGGGTCAAATCGGCCTCCCACGTAAACGGGCATCGTCAAAGCGTAAAGCTCATTGTACGTGCATCTACAGACGAGGTCTAGAATGCGTGATGCTACGGACCTCCGTCTTCCCCGCTTACGAACTACTGAAAACAGATTTCGCTCTCTGTTTCTTTCAAGAAAAGATTCTGACAGCGGAGAGCTACTCAACACGATAGCTTTCTTTGGGCCAAAACGTATCAAGATTTCCCACATTAAACGCGATAGATGTTTATTTGTAATGGTACGTCAACCACGGTGGTCTAGCGGTTAGAACGCTGGCCTTGTAATCCTGGGGTCTCGGGTTCGATTCCCGGCGGTGCCCGAATTTATAACTTGTGTTGGGCAAGGCCGTGGTCTAGGCAACACGGAGTTTTCCTCCGGGGGCTTCCCCGGTTTCTCCGTGGCATCCCAACAATTACCCCATTCACACACAGAAGAAGGCAATGCCAAACCACTTCTGGATCATCTGCCAAAA